ATCATGGGATCGAGCCCCACATTAGGGTCAGGGTAGAATCTGCTTGAGATTCTCTTTCTTCCTCTGCCCCTTCCTCAACTTATGTGCATACCTTCTCTCTCTCTCAAATAAATAAATCTTATTTGTTTTTTTTTAATTAAGAGGGGTGCCTGGCTGGCTCTGTTGGTGGAGTGTACAACTCTTCATCTTAGAGTTGTGAGTTTGAGCCCCACATTGGGTGTAGAGCTTACTTAAAAAAATAATATCTTAAAAAAATTAAGAGTACATTTAAAAATAAGATAGGTGTATCAATCAGAGTACAGTCAGGAGGCAAAACTACATGGAGTTAAGTGTAATTTTATTATAATATGTAATATATATAATTTCTATATATTTCTAAACTTACGTGTACGATTTGCAAAGAATTATTAGTAATAGTGTATTAACCACTAAGAGGTGAAGAGAACAGGATGCCTGGGTGGCTCAGTGGTTGAGCAGCTGCCTTCAGCTCAGGGTGTGATCCTGGAGTCTTGGGATCAAGTCCTGCATCGGGTCCCTGCATGGAGCCTGCTTCTCCCTCTGCCTGTGTCTCTGCCTTTCTCTCTGTCTCTCATGAATAAATAAATAAAATCTTTAAAAAAAAAAAAAAGGTGAAGAGAACCCTAAAGAATACGAGAATAACCAATATAAGGAGCAGCCACTATTCTGTATGACAAAACTTAATTTCATGCTTACTATCAAGAAATATTGATAGGGTCTAGCTTTAGTATGACAAGGCAAGGCAAAGAAGGCTGGATTTGGAGTTGAAAGGCAATAAATTCACAACTGGCACAAAAGTATCTTTGAAATTACAATGAAGGACATAGAGAAATACAATTCGTTTTATAAAAGTTTTATGCAAAACTGTTGAGTAATACTTTTGATTCATAAAGTTAGGCATGCCTGTTGCCAGATCTAATGCACTTTCCTCCTGGAACTTAGCTGTAAGAATAGCACACAGATATAAGAAGAAAAGGTTATTATTTTTTAAAAATTTTATTTATTTTCATGAGAAACAGAGAGAGACAGAGACACAGGCAGAGGGAGAAGCAGGCTCCTCACAGGGAGCCTGACGTGGGACTAGATCCTGGGTCTCCAGGATCATGCCCTGGGCTGAAGTCGGCTACCAAACCGCTGAGCCACCTGGGCTGCCCAGAAGAAAGGGTTATAAACAAAGTTTTTTAAAAAGCACATCATGACATAACTATAGTAGGTAATTTTTTTTTAGCATGAATCAGTTGTACTACTCTTTGATATTCAATAAATGAAATATCCAGTTTTTAACCATCCTTACACTAGAGGTCATTCCTTCTTGCCTGTCTAGGTAAGAAGACTGATGGATAGATGCAGTATGGTTAAGTAAAGAACCAGCAGGGTCAAAGAAAAAAAAAAAAGAACCAACAGGCTCTCTTCCCTCAGCATCATGTAGTTTAGGGTAAGGCATGCTGTGTGTGCTTACTGCCTGCTGCCAGGGATAGCTCTGTACAGCCAGCCTAGGGAGTAGGCGGCACTTTTGGTCTGTTGGCTCCTAATGCTCAGCACTATCAGTGCTTAAAAAAAAAAAAAAAAAAAGAGCAAATGTGGGGAATGTAGTGGCCCTATACCAACCATATTACCTTAATCCATTTTAAAGGAGAAACTTTCTAAACCTTCCAGGATTGTTAACACTATGATCATTGGTTTATACCAGTCTGTATTGGAGAGCAAGAGGAAGGACAATCAGAATGAAAAGCTGAGGTTTTTTTTTTTTTTTTTTGAAAAGCTGAGGTTTTGATTTAATAAAAGCCAGTTTCATTTTTTTTTTCTTTAAAGATTTTACTTACTTATTCATGAGAGACACACACACACACAGAGAGGCAGAGACACAGGCAGAGGGAGAAGCAGGCTCCATGCAGGAAGCCCGATGCAGGACCTGATCCCGAGTCTCCAGGATCGGGCCCTGGGCCGAAGGTGGCGCCAAACCGCCAAGCCACCCAGACTGTCCTAAAAGCCAGTTTCAGTTCACCTCTATTTATTCTCTCCACCAGACCTCATTTGCCTTTTTTACCAAAATAGGTGACCCCCATGCCTCCTCAGCACATTTGTCAAATCCTACCATCTCAGTGCTTGGCCACCCTTGCAGCTCTTGCTGAGGCATCAGTCCCCCTGTCCAACTCCCACAGAGCTGCAGTTAGGTAAGGGACAGCTGCTGAGTGAACTGCCGTTTCTTTTATTTTTACATTTCCAGCAGATTTAATTTGCATGAAATATGAAAGAATTATGGTTAACTAGAGACATCTAGGAAAAAGGAATGTAGAGTCACTGAGCATCAGAAAGAAAAATCACTAAGCAACATAATCAGATGGCTGAATAATATTAGAGAATGACTGAGTTATTTGTTGTATTTTTGCAGTTTCAAGTTTGTTTTTCCTTGACTCCAGTTGCTTCAGATTGAAATGTTTAGTCTTCTGTTAGCAGATTATTTGGGAAATACTTTGTGTTTTGTTTTGACTGATGCTATCATAGAGTGATTCAAAATAGTAGCTTAGATATGTTGTATTTAAAGCATCTGGGTCACTTGGGTAGCTCACTGGTTGAGCATCTGCCTTTGGCTCGGGTCATGATCATGGGGTCCTGGGATCAAGTCCCACATTGGGCTCCCTGTGGGGAGCCTGCTTCTCCCTCTGCCTATGTCTCTGCCTCTCTCTGTATCTCTTATGAATAAATAAATAAACTGTATTTTTAAAAAACATCAAAATATGTAGGAAACTGATACTTCTTCTGTGTGCTTCAGGGTTATTTGCTTTTATTTTCACTAGAGATGATATTTTGGCATTTCCAATGGAGTTGGACTGATATATGCTGTATAGTGACCTTCTGATATTCAGAACAAAACAGTTTCAAGTCACTTAGCCAGAGCTGGTAGCCTGTGGGGAGAAGGCTTAGGGTTTCATGTGAGTGGGGGCAAATAGTCATGGGTAGGGCTAAATAGTCATCTAGGAATCTTTCTGGAGCAGTCTGCTCCATCATAAATGAAAGCAGATTGTTCTGCTTTCTTTCTGCCATTAACATTTGGGCGGTGAGAGCATTCCTCCAATCCTATTTTCCAACTGGCAGCGATCATAAAGATCTCTATTCAGACATGTATGAGTGAGCAGCATGGCAGAGGGAAAAAAGCAATGTCCTAAACTCATGCTTCTTATTTTGATTTGCTTTTTTTAAAAAAAGATTTTATTTATTCATGAGAGACACAGAGAGACAGAGGGGCAGAGGGAGAAGCAGGCTCCATGCAGGGAGCCCGACATGGGACTTGATCCTGGGACTCCAGGATTATGCCCTGGGCTGAAGGCAGATGCTAGACCGCTGAGCCACCCAGGGATCCCCCTTGATTTGCTTTTTGATTTTGGATAAATTACTTAACTTCCCCAGGTCTCAATCTCCTCATCTTTAGCTGAGGTTGGATGGTTGGATCAGATTATCTCTTGAGGTCTTTTCAGCTATAACATTTAACTGTTGTTTTTAATAGATGCGAATGCTCTATTTCCATTAAACCACCTGAATGTGTCTCTTGGTGGATAGTCCATACCCCACTTAGTGCAAAGTTCTTTCTACCTGTGACTCTTTATTTTTTTTAATTAATTTTTTTAAAGATTTTATTCATTTATTTGACACATAGGTAGAGAGCCAAAGAGCACAAGCAGGGGGAACAGCAGAAGGAGTGGGAGAGGCAGTCTCACTGCTGAGCCGGGAGCCCAATGTGGGACTTGATCTCAGGACACCAAGATCATGATCTGAGCCAAAGGCAGATGCTTAACAGACTGAGCCACCCAGGCACTCCTACCTGTGACTCTTTAGATAGAAAAATTCTGAAGTGGAATAGTAGGAATCCTTTTGCCTAATAATTATTGGGGGTATTGACTAACCAAACTGAAAATCTTTTTTAAAGTTTTATTTATTTAAGTAATCTCTGCACCCATTATGGGGCTTGAACTCACCACCCCAAGATCAGGAGTCATATGCTCTTCTGACTGAGCTAGCCAGGCACCCTTCTCTCCCCTTTTAATTACCAAACTGAAAATCTTTTTTTTTTTTAGATTTTATTTATTTATTCATTAGAGACACAGAGAGAGAGAGACAGAGACAAGAGACATAGACAGAGGGAGAAGCAGGCTTCTCAGAAGGAGCCTGATGTGGGACTCAATCCCAGACCTGGGATCACACCCTGAGCTTAAGGCAGATGCTCAACCACTGAGCCACCCAGGCGTTCCATCCAAACTGAAAATCTTGATTCAACATAATATATATGAAATTCTTAGAAAGATACCTGGCTACATTGTAAGTAGTCAGTGTTAGTTGCGATTAATATTATTGTTTATCTGTCACATAGGAGAAAGAAACCACCTACCATTTGTGTTTGTCAGACTTCATCAATGCTTTAGGACTGCTTAACACGTTATTTTGTTAATTCACTGTAAATACTTCTATTTTCTTATAGAAATAGATCTACTCTGTAATTATTTTTCTAAGCTTCATAGATTTGTTTGGACTTTCAAGATGCTTTTTGAAAAAGGAATTCCAAGATCAAACATGCTGGGGAAACTCAGCATATCTTATCCTCTATTGGAGAATCACAGGGCTCATTAGCTTATTGGGGTTTCTGATACTTCTTACAAAGTAAATAAAAAATTTAAGCATAAACTGGCATTTTGAAAGTGCATTTGTGCATAGAACCTATCCTTAGTGAAAGCTATTAATAACTCATGAAGACATTTTAGAAAATACTATTCTATTGCATTCACTATTTTTTTTCTCAACTGATTTAGCATTGTTCACAAGAACTTGCTTTAGAAACTTAAATCTAAAAAAAAAAAAAAGAAACTTAAACCTAACTTCTTTTTCCTAGTTTTCCTGTCACTGATATTAGCAATTTCAAGGAGGCTGAAATTGTTGTACTCTTATTTTTAAAAAAGCTGAAATTTCAAATTCATTTTTGTCATCTCTAGCTAATTCAGAGGAAATCATAGAGGGAAATTCTGTTGACTCATCAATCCAGCAAGTTGTGGGGAGCAGAGGCCAAAGGGTCATCACTATAGTGACTGATGGAGTCCCTCTGGGTAATATCCAAACTGCAATCCCTACTGGAAGCATTGGCCAGCCATTTATTGTAACTATGCAAGATGGACAGCAAGGTGAGTTATCCCATTCAACAAAGTGTTTATGGAAAGATATTTTAGACATTCCACATTCCTCTAAAAATGAGGCATTAATTTTTAAATAGTGGGACTAGAAGAGTGCCAGATTCCAGGTTGGCTCCAAGAAAGAAAGAGAGAAACTAGGCCAACAAAGCCTAATTTCCCTAACACGTATAAGATTTGTGAGTAAAGGCCAAAAATCTGGTAGGAAAAAGAGGAAACAATATGAACCAGTAGTTCACAGAAAATACTGATGGGTCTTAAAAATATGGAAATATGTTCAACTTACTTCATACATAGCAAGAGAAATGCAAATCAGTACTGTACTGAGATACCATTATAACACTGTGTTGTCAAGGTATGAGGAAATAGGCACTCTTACAATAAATTACTGGCTGGCTCAGTCAGTAAAGCATGTGATTCTTTTTTTTTTTTAAGATTTTATTTATTTATTCATAAACACAGAGAGAGAGGCAGAGACACAGGCAGAGGGAGAAGCAGGCTCCATGCAGGGAGCCCGATGTGGGACTCGATCCCCGGTCTCCAGGATCATACCCCAGGCTGCAGGCAGCACCAAACCACTGCGCCACCGGGGCTACCCAAAGCATGTGATTCTTGATCTCAGAGTTGTAAGTTCGAGCTCCATGTTGCGTGTATACTTAAAAATAAAATCTAAAAAAAAAAAAAAAAATCACTGCTGAGAGTGTAAATTAATGTATTCTCTAAATGTATTATCTATCAATATATGTATTTTTTAAGATTTTATTAATTTGAGAGAGAGAGCACACAAGCAGGGGGGCAGGGCAGAGGGAGAAGCAGACTCCCTGCTGAGCAGGAAGCCTACCCCACCCTGCTGGACCTAACCCGAAGGGCTCAGTCCCAGGACCTTGAGATCCTGACCTGAGCCAAAGGCAGACATTTAACCAATTGAGCCACCTAGCTGCTCCCAGTATCTATCAAAGTTCTAAAGAACTAAAAAATTCTAAGAATTTATATTCACACACAGAAATGAAATATATACAAAGCTATTCGTTACAGCATTATTTGTAATTATCCAAGATTAAAAAGAACCTAAGTAGGTGGTAGCTATACTTGTGGTGAACATAATGTATAGACAGGTTGAGTCACTGTGTTGTACCTGAAACTAATGTAACATTGTAGATCAACTATACTCCAATAAAAAATACAAAATAAAAAGAACCTAAGTGTATGTCATGTGGGAACTAGATAAAGAAATTATGGTACACCCATATGTTAGAAAACTATGCAGCTATTGAAAACAATGAGGAAATGGCTTATATACTAGCATGGTTTTCATCCCCCAAACCATAATAAGTGAGTAACACACACTTAACAAGAGAGTAAGACACAGGACAGTGTGTAGAATATGCTATATTTATATATTCATTTATATTTTAAAGGGGGGAAATATATGTATATTTGCTAATATGTTCATAGACTTAAACCATCTCTGAAGGAACATTCAAGAATAACATTGATAACATTCTTTGCCTCCTGAGAGGGTACCTCAGTAGCTGGGGATGGATGGGAGGCTTTTCACTATATGTGCTTTTATAATTTAATTTTTGAGCCATATGAATTCAAGAAATACATCAATAAATTTTGTTTTTAAAAAGAAACTAATCATTAAAACTGTATCCTTAAAAATATTGGAGTTTGGGAGCATCTGGGTGGCTCAGTTGGTTAAGTGTCTGACTCTGGATTTTGGCTTAGGTCATGATCTCGGGGTGGTGAGATCGAGCCCTGCCTTAGGCTCCACGCTGGACATGGAGCCTGTTTAATATTCTCTCTCTCCCTCTCCCTCTGCCGCTCCCCCTAACTCCACTTGTACTCTCTCTCTCTCTCTCTAAAAAAAATCTATTGGAGTTTGAAAAGAGGAGGGTTGGTTTACTGCATTCAGTCACCAAAATTTTGACTTTATTTATTCATGAGAGACACAAAGAGAGAGAGGCAGAGACACAGGCAGAGTCCCATGCAGGGAGCCCGACATGGGACTCGATCCCAGGACCTCAGGATCATGCCCTGGGCCGAAGGCAGGCACTAAACTGCTGAGCCACCCAGGGATCCCCTCACTCTCTTCTCTGTCTTTGAAAAAAAAAAAAAAAAAGTTCCATCCTAAGGATTCCTTGTGCTCCTTTTTTTTTTTTTCCTCAAAGATTTTATTCACTTATCCATGAGAGACAGAGAGAGAGAGAGAGAGAGAGAGAGAGAGGCAGAGGACAAAGGCAGAGGGAGAAGCAAGTTTCCTACAGGGAGCCCAATGTGGGACTCAATCCCCATCCTGGGTCTCCAGGATCATGTCTGGACCAAAGGTGGCGCTAAACCGCTAAGCCACCCGGGCTGCCCCCTTGTGCTCCTTTTATATCCACAGCTACCTCCCTTCCCACCTCATTCCTAACCTTTGGCAATCACTAATTTGTTTTCTACCTCTGTACTTTTGTCATTTAAGAATATTATAAATGGAATCATGTAATATGGAATCTTGGGAGATTTGCTTTTTTTCTCTCGGCATAATTCCCTTAAAATCTATCCAAGTTACTGTTTGTATCAATAGTTCATTCCTTTTTATTGCTGAATAGTATCCATGATGTGGGTTACCATACTTTGTTTAACCATTCATTGAAGGACATTTAAGTTGTTTCTAGTTTTTGGTTATCAATGAACAAAGCTGTTATGACCAATAGTGTGCATGTTTTATGGGAACATAAATTTTCAGTTCTCTGGGATAAATGCCCAGAGGTGCAGTTGCTGGGTTGCATGCTAAGTACATGTTTAGTTTTGTAAGAAACTGCCAAATTGGGCAGCCCTGGTGGAGCAGCGGTTTAGTGCCGCCTGCAGCCCGGGGTGTGATCCTGGAGACCCGGGATCGAGTCCCATATCGGGCTTCCTGCATGGAGCCTGCTTCTCCCTCTGCCTGTGTGTCTGCCTCTCTCCTCGCTCTCTCTGAATGAATGAATGAATAAATAAATCTTAAAAAAAAAGAAACTGCCAAATTATTTCCTAGAGTGATTGTACCATTTTTCATTCCCACCAGCAATTTATGAATTATCCAGTTTCTCCATATCCTGTTATCATCTGGTGTTAGCACTTTTAAAATATTAGTTATTCTGATAGGTAGGTGTTGACCTTTTTTTCACTTATCTATGGAAGAGAAATAAATTGGAATATAGTGATTAGAAAACTGCCTTCATGTGAAGTTTCTTAAAAATCTTATGTAAAGACATCAGGCCTTCATTAGACAAGTTATATTAGAAGAATTGTAAGCTTATTGGCCATAGCTTTTAATCCAGAGTTAGATTTCTTCATTTTAAAGAGAGAGAGTGCATGCATGTGTGCAAGGGGGGGTAGGGGTGGGCCCAGGGAGAAAGAGAAACTTAAGCATCCTCCACACTCAGCTTGGAGGCCAGTGCGGGGACCCTGATATCATGACCTCAGCTGAAATCAAAGTTGGACACTTAACTGACTGAGCTACTGTGCCCATAGAGTTACATATCTTTATATAAGAGCCTCAGACCTGGGTGTTAACTGTATGGCTTCCAAATCTGCCTCTCTAATCTTTTCTGTTTCTCTCTGTAGGGCCATGCTTTACCTTTTGATTCTAAAATCCAAAGAAAGGGATCCCTGGGTGGCTCAGCGGTTTAGCGCCTGCCTTTGGCCCAGGGCGTGATCCTGGAGTCCCGGGATCAAGTCCCACGTAGGGCTCCAGGCATGGAGCCTGCTTCTCCCTCCTCCTGTGTCTCTGCCTCTCTTTCTATCATAAATAAATAAATCTTAAAAAAATAAAATAAAATCCAAAGAAGTATGAATAGTAAGATTTCAACTAATATATTTCAGTTTATTTCTTAATTTAAAGCAGTCAGGGGTGCCTGGCTGGCTTAGTCTGTGGAGCTTGAGACTCTTGATCTCAGGGTGTAAGTTTGAAGTTCCACAATGGGTATAGAGATTACATAAAAATAAAATCTTTTAAAAAATAATAAAGCAGGCAAAACCTCTTTGACTATGTATTCATCACCTCCAATTGGTGTCCTTTGGCTTGTAGTTCTCACTGTACCTGCTGGTCAGGTTGCAGAGGAAACTGTAATTGAAGAAGAGGAAGAAGCAGAGAAGTTGCCTCTGACTAAGAAACCAAGGATAGACGAGATGACAAACAGTGTGGAGGAGAACAAGGTAATGTTTTTAGCAGTGGTAGAGAAAAGAGAAAGGAAAGACTCAGAAGCCAAAATTTTTAAGGCCTGAACCTTTCTATACATTTTTGTCTATTCTCTGGGTAATCTGGGATCAGGAATTCTTACCTGGTGATGACATGGTTTACTTTTACAGGAGGGCACTGAAAGAGAGCTACTACAACAGCAGCTCCAGGAGGCCAATCGAAGAGCTCAGGAATACCGACACCAGCTCCTAAAGAAAGAGCAGGAGGCAGAACAGTACCGCCTCAAGCTAGAGGCCATGGCCCAACAACAGCCCAATGGAGTTGATTTCACCATGGTTGAAGAGGTGGCAGAAGTAGATGCTGTAGTAGTTACAGAGGGGGAGATGGAGGAGAGAGACATGGCAGTAACTGGGGCAGGAGGGACCATAGAGCCTCATCCTGCAGTTTCCTTGGAAACTGTTTCATCTTAATGTGCCAGGGCCACAACCTGTACTGTGTCCATCTTTTTCTCTTTTTAAAAGAAAATAGGACAGACATTGTATAAAAATTAAGAATGTCCTTAAGAAGAAAACTATAGCTGGGTACAGTGCTTGGGCTCAGGAAGGCTTGCTATGCAACTGGAAAATTCAAAGCCAAATTTAGGGAACACTTCTTTTTGAGGGACCAAAAGAATAAGGACCAAATTTCTCAGCTCACATCATTGCTTTAAGCTTAGAAGTAAAAGAATGCTGGAAATTGTGGGTTGATTGTTTTTTAAATAACTGACTTTGTATCAGAAGATTTAGATAACATTCCTAGTATGGACACTCACAGAGCCTTTAATAATTGTACCATCAAGTGACCTTAAAATTTGTCTTAGGTTTATGATGTATACCTGATAGAAAAGAAAACTGGGAGGTGGATTGGAAGCAAGATTTTGGGAAGAGAAAGAAATATATTCTGCTTCCAAAGGAGCAGGCATTCCCCTCTATCCTGAATTAATTCCACTGAAAAGAAATTGGTAATTGCCTAATTCTGCATCCATTATGTGTCTATAAATCAGATGCCAGTTTAAGAAAATGAAGTGGAATATTTAAAAACTGGAAAGGGAAGAAAACTTGTTTGTGGGAGAAGTGTATGTAAATCCAAAATCCTCCAGGCTGTGCTTCCACAATGCTGGAAAGTGGCCAGAAAGAGGATTGTGGGGTTATATAAAATCTGGTCTTGAGATACTTTGTTCTGGCTGGATTTTACAAAATTGCAATCAGGAGGGTAGTCTGTTGCTAGAACAACTTGCTTCCAAACATTTATTTATATAATATCAAGCTTTAATATCAACTTTTTAATTTTATAAATTTTTTGTTGCGTTTTCTAAGTGTGCCTTTCTGTGGAGCTTATATGGTATCCTCCTAATTGCAAAAGAAGTCAGGAAAGAGGTGAGTGCTGAGAGTGTTGGTGGAGTTTTGTTTCCATTTGGCTTGGGATGAGGAAATTGTTCTGTTTCCTTAAGGTCTGACTTTGTGCAGAGCTTTTGTGCTTTATAGGTGCTCAGTGTGTGTTGGCAAAGGAAATAAAAAACTAGCAGTGCCATAAAGTAAGGAACCAGAAATTTTGACTCGATAACTCTGCCTGACTCCCTTCTCTATCACTATGCCTGCTCCCTTTGCTTAGACACTTTTTTTTTTTTAATTTATGATAGTCGCACAGAGAGAGAGAGAGAGAGAGAGAGAGAGGCGCAGAGACACAGGCAGAGGGAGAAGCAGGCTCCATGCACCGGGAGCCTGATGTGGGATTTGATCCCGGGTCTCCAGGACCGCGCCCTGGGCCAAAGACAGGCGCTAAACCACTGCGCCACCCAGGGATCCCTGTTTAGACACTTTCGGAAAGTGTTTCATTGCTGGGTTTTCTTTGTGCACCAGTTTGGAGTTTTTTCAAAAGAAAGAGGATATGGATAGAGAGAGAGGTTCTGGAGAGGTTACATTACAGAAGTTACTGTCTTTGAAATCAGACCCCCATCATTCTAGACCTGCTTGCTAGATTTATTGTAAATTAGAAGAAACCAGAGGGATGTGCCAAGTAAACATTTGAATGGCTGTTTAGAATACAGTTTTTTTAATTAGCGATCATGGGGAAAACATACATTTTTAATTTGGAATAAAACTTGACAGTTAACATGGTTCTATTTACCTTGATTAGTGAGGTAATTTGCTGTGTTTTTCCAGAGGTGCAGAACCACTTGGGGCTCAAAATAGACTGAAAATATAACTCACCAAACCAAGTTTGACAAACAGAATTGGCTATTAGAGGCTTATAGGCAAAAATAGCAGTTTTGAAATTAATTTTGGCTACTGGCCACCTTTACTAGGTTTCCTCCAGACTTGAGAGATTACTCTTGGTTTTGGGGGATGACGAAATAGCAAGAGAGAAGCCTACGTAAGGGCAGGGTGAAATTGTGCCATCTGCTGTCAAATTGTCCTTTTTCTGCTTGTGATGTTTTTCTTTTTTCTGAGTCCCTTTGTGAACCAGGTGCTAACAATAAGCTGCTATTGTGTGCCATTTCAGAGCCTTGGCTTAACTATAGAGATAGAGGGACCAGGTGTCATTTTAGATATGTTGGTTTCTTTGTGTATATATTGACTTTAATTCCTCGCCCCCCCCCCCTTTCCTGTTAAGAGAGTGGAAGTTAACTCTTCAGAGGATATCCAGGCCAGGCCCAGCTACCAAACTCTCTGAGGTGACTTCTGACTGGGGTCAGGAGTTGCCATCCAGCGCTCCCTCCTGAGCATACAGAGTTCCTACTGTTTTGGGGAACTGTTCAGAAATTCTTATTATTCTCTTTCTGTAGGGGGTTATCATTCTCACCTAGAAAAATCTCTAATAGGGCAGCCCCTATTGGCACAGGGGTTTGGTGCCTCTTGCAGCCTGGGGTGTGGTCCTGGAGGCCCAGGATTGAGTCCCATGTGGGGCTTCCTGTATGGAGCCTGCTTCTCCCTCTGCCTGTGTCTCTGCCTCTGTGTGTGTGTGTGTCTCTATGAATAAATAAAATCTTTTAAAAAAAAGAAAAATCTCTAATAATTCTATTTTTTTAAAAAAGATTTTATTTATTTATTCATGAGAGAGAGAGAGAGAGAGAGGCAGAGAGAAGTAGGCTCCATGCAGGGAGCCCGACGCGGGACTCAATCCCGGGACTCCAGGATCACGCCCTGCCCCGAAGACAGGCGCCAAACCACTGAGCCACCCAGGGATCCCCCTCAAGTTATTTTTTTTTTAAGATTTTATTTATTCATTCACGAGACACACACACACACACACACACACAGAGGTAGAGACACAGACAGAGGGAGAAGCAGGCTCCATGTAGGGAGCCCGACGTGGGACTTGATTCCAGGTCTCCAGGATCACACCCGAGGCCAGAGGCAGCACTAAGCCACTGAGCCACCTGGGCTGCCCATTCAAGTTATTTTTGATGATGGGGTCCTCTGAGATAGGGAGTTGGAATAAGGAAAGAGAAAAGAGAAACGTCTGGAAAGGGAAGAGTAGCAAAAAGGTATTTGTTGTTATTTACTTGAAGTAGATCCTTTAGCATCCTGGGTAGGGAAATGGGATTTCATCTCCAGTTATATTGCCATGGAGAGAATGGTAGGTCAGGATCCCTTGAAGTAGTTACATATTAAATGCATTAATGGCAATACCATTTTATGATTTGCATCTTTCAGGATCAGCAATGAAAGTTGGGGAAAGGGGATCCCTGGGTGGCTCAGCGGTTTAGTGCCTGCCTTCGGCCCAGGGCGTGATCCTGGAGACCCGGGATCGAGTCCCGCATTGGGCTCCCTGTGTGGGGCCTGCTTCCCCCTCTGCCTGTGTCTCTGCCTCTTTCTCTGTGTGTGTGTCTCATGGATAAATAAATAAAACTTAAAAAAGAAAGAAAGTAAGTTGGGAAAATGTTGCTAGATCTTCTACGTTGATGGATCCCAATTGGCTTATTAGCAAGATTGGATTACAGAGAATCAAACAACCGACAGGAGGTTCAGAGTTGGCACTTAAGCAGGAGAAACTTGGAACCTAGGATGATTGCTTACTTTAAAGCTGTTTTAACAATATTAGTATTAATTTATGAATTTTAGACTCTATATTTGGTCTTAAGCCTTCCCCCCCAAAAAATAGGATGTCTTAATATTCTGTTCTTGTTCCTAGCTTCAGGGAAATTACTTATAAATATACAAATGTACATTCCCTTCCTATCACTACCTCTGTGGGATTTTTTAATTGTAATGCCAGAGTTGAGGTTTCTTAATGGAAATATGGGAGAACTTGACTTTAAGTTTTCTATGTTCTGAACTCAGTGCCTTAAAAGATATTCTTTTCTCTGTCAGATCCATGTGTAGTTTTTTTTTTTGTCGTTGCCTTTTCCCCTTCTTCAGCCTTACCATTGCATTATCAAAATGTTTGTGTCTGCTCAGTAATGTTAGAAATCCATGGCATCCAAAATTACTTTCTTTCTTTATATTGATGTAAAAGAAATGAATTTATCAGAGGGCTGTACAGTTGAAGTTAAGTGCTCTGTGAGCAGGGCATTTTGAGTACTCATTTGCTGGGTGTACGTTGTTGTGTACATTTATAAATACATATGGATTTTCCCACTTTTCTCTTTGTTTGAGGTTCAGCTCTAAAGTACCTGGTATAACCTGGAAATATTTTTTTTAAGATTTTATTTATTTATTCATGAGAGACACACACAGAGAGAGAGAGAGAGAGAGAGAGAGAGGCAGAGACACAGGGAGAGGGAGAAGCAGGCTCCATGCAGGATGTGGGACTTGATCAGGGGTCTCCAGGATCACGCCCCTGGGCTGAAGGCGGCGGTGCTAAACCACTGAGCCACCCGGGCTGCCCCATAACCTGGAAATATTTTCATTAACCACATTAGAGAGGGTTTCTGTGGCTTCACTAAAAGGGCTGAGGAAGAAAAAGTTTTACTTTGGCCCTTCTCTGAGAGGTATGCTCTAACCGATGTAATAAGAAACCTGAGGAGTGAAGCCCCTGAGAGAACCAGGATCCGGCTTTACAGAGATTCGTTTAGCATATGGTGTGATGACACCATGTAAGTTAAACAGTTCAGAGAAGTGTCAGAGGTAATGATGGAGCTGCCCATCCACAGAGCATTTCCACTCCTATGGCAGCTGTTTTGACTGGCACTTGTAAAATCTCTTACACCTCCAAACAGAAAAGAGACCATAGATAAAGGGTCATGGTACAAGGAGCAGGTATTCTGTATATCTATTTTCCCAGCTTAGAAATCTCATCCTTTTGAGAAATGATCATTTTGAGAAAGCTTATGTGGCTCTCTCCTAACAAACATCATTATGGACTTCCAGAGCTAGAAGATTTCAGGCATATAGTGAACTCTTCCAGAAGTTGAATATTGGGTAGAAATTGGTTTTTATCCAAATTTATTGGAGAATGGTCTTCTTGTGCAGACATCTTTGTATGGCCAGAAAAGGAGCTTTAGAATGGAATATATGTCAAGACCACCTGTATGCTGTTCTGGGCATATCATATCTGTTCTTAGATCTCTCCATTTTATGTGATGAATTGGTACTCTGTTTCTTATGCCAATGTGCTTATTAAGAGATCAGGAGTAAGAAGGATATGAATTTGAATTAAGTAGCTTTGAGCCTCTGGTGGTACACTGCCTTTTGGGGGTAGGGGGTTACATTCCTAGAATCTACAGTAGCAATTTGGCTGTTTAATGGCAGGAACTTGTGATTCCCTATCTCTCTCCCCCTGCTTTCCCCTCTAAACTACTTCTGCTTCTGTGACCCCATTGTTCTTATCTCATTGAGTCTTTCCTAGGCACTAGCACTTAATTAGTAGGTCATTTCTAATCTATGGGCCTTGTCTTTCCACTTGCCACTCCCCTCCTTCCCTATTACATATTTTCTGTTTATGCTGAAGTGGTTTGTTTCTCAGAATTAGTCTAGGTCATACTCTATATCCTGTGCTTCCTAGTTGATTTCAGGCACCTTGCTTTACCAACAATAACGATAGCTCCTTTCTCTCTGGCTTTGTCCTGTGGCCTGTCTTCCTGCCAAGGCCATTTATGTTGGTGGAGGAGAGAAAGAGGGTGGGTGGGTACCTAGATTTTTCTCAAAATGTTGTCAGTTTTTCAGGTTTTCTGACAGCTTTATGTATAGTATGTTTTAGGAAAACTTAAATATACTTTTCTTATTTAGGATTTTAATAGGGTTTGATTTTGATGAGGAAGGGTGTGTGTGTGTGTGTGATCATTTGTGTGTATATACACTTATACAGATCTATATTATATATACAATTTTTGTACTATCATTTAAAATAAAGATGTTTCTTAATAAAATGTCAAAGTCTTACCATCTCAGGGTGTCACTGAAATTTTTTCCATCTCCTGGGCAAAAATTGTATCTAGTCCCTGATCACAGATAAATGTCAAGAGGAAGTTTTCTCTGTCTAGCTGAGCTAATGAGGGTGGAGCAGGAGGAGGAAACATGTGTATGGGGGAGTATTCTTTCCCCTGTTGTGGTCTTTTCTCTCTCATTCACACCCTCTGCATTTTCCTTATCTAGCTACTCCTCAGCTGGTATTCATAATAGGCAGAGCAAGTGGAGGTAAGGACTGAAGTGAGAATGGAGAGAGTTTTTAACTGGCTTGTTAGATTTACATCTTCCTCCGTTCTGTCAGCCCCCACTCCCTCCCCTAAAAGCAAACAACCAGGAGAAGAGCCCAGTAGCTGAAGGAAATGATTCTGTGCCTTGTGTGGGAGTAAAATCAATGCTATGATATGGATTGGGGGGGAAGGAAGGGGACATCAGGTTCAGGGAGGCTCGGGAATAGATTTGCTCCCTGGTTTCTCAGCTTTTCTTAGTTAATAAGGTGCTTGTTGCTATCTCAGTCCAATGTGGCATACATTTATTAAGTAAATATGAGTAGCAGTCTGGTTGTAGCACAAACCCCATTGATATCCAGGGCTGAAAAGACCCATTTGGCTGACTAGATGAAGCCCCCACCCTGTTCTCAAAAGATGCTCCTTTGGCAATAAGGATGCCTTTCTTAAATAAAGGAGGGTAATACCAAAGTCAAAAACATATAAGCATTTGTGTTCAAAAACTAGAATCTGCAAGTCAGTATTTAGGAAATTGAATACTTACCATGTACTAAGCTGTGTACAGATAATTGCTTTTTGGTAAATACATATAGTCAAAAAGCCCAGTGTACATATTAATTATAAGGTACATCTGCCAGAGTACCTCATGAATGTGTATACAGTCTTTGCATAGTCTGCTGAGAGAAAGAGAGCAGGCAAAGAAAAGAGCAAGGACTTGAGGAGGCTTGAGGAATAACTAAAAATCTTACTGTATTAAGATCCTAGTGAGACAATCAGGAATGTGGGAAAGTTGGGAGATAGGAACCAAGAGTTCTCTGAAGGGTAATCTTTTTAAAAAAAAATATTTTATTTATTTGATGGAGAGAGAGCACAAGCAGGGAGCAGCAAAGGGAGAGGGAGAAGCAGGCTCCCTCCTGAGCAGGGAGCCCAATGTGGGCCTCAATGAGGGTCATCCAAGGCCCCAGAATCATGAGCTGAGCCAAAGGCAGTGCTTAACTGAGCCATCCAGGCGCCCCTGAAAGATAATATTCTTTTTTTTTTAAGATTTTATTTATTCATGAGAGACACAGAGAGAGAGAGAGAGAGAGAGAGAGAGAGAGAGAGAGAGAGGCAGAGACACAGGCAGAGGGAGAAGCAGGCTCCAGGCAGGGAGCCTGATGCAGGACTCGATGCTGGGTCTCCAGGATCAGGCCCTGGGCTGAAGGTGGCGCTAAACCTCTGAGCCACCCAGGCTGCCCGAAAGGTAATATTATTAAAGGATGGGAAAGAAACATGAATTAGGGCAACTTTCCTAAGATTGCCTCTGTGAAAATGAGCCCTTTACTCCGCGATCTGTAGGTAGAAAATGCAAGAGAAGGTTGAAGTGGGAGCAATTTAGTGATAACCACACACCTGTGTACAGATTGTGTAAGGTATCTGATAGATAACAGAGTAAGCTTCTTAAGGCTATAAGGGACACCTTTAAGAAAATGAAAGTAGGTAACTGGGAAATTAATAGTAATGTCCAGTAAGCAATTTAAATACGTGTTTAAAATTTTTTAAGAAAAAAGACTCTAGGGATCCCTGGGTGGCGCAGCGGTTTAGCGCCTGCCTTTGGCCCGGGGCACGATCCTGGAGACCCCGGATGGAGTCCCACGTCGGGCTCCCGGTGCATGGAGCCTGCTTCTCCCTCTGCCTGTGTCTCTGCCTCTCTCTCTCATTCTGTGTGACTATCATAAATAAACAAAAATTAAAAAAAAAACCTACAAAACTTTAAAAAAAAAAAAAAGAAAGAAAGAAAAAAGACTCTAAAGGACCCCTGAGCAAGGTGTGGGGCTGCACTCTTACTTCCATAACCAGTCCTAAAGTTTAAGAAAGTTCTTACTATAAAGGAAAGTGATGTTTAAGAGGCCAATATTATAAATAATCATAGTAGGTTCTATGTGTTAAAAGTGTGTTGTTTTTTTTTAAGTAAGCTCTTCACCCGGGCAGGCCGGGTGGCTCAGCAGTTTAGTGCCACCTTCAACCCAGGGTGTGATCCCGGAGACCCGGGATCGAGTCCCACATTGGGTTCCCTGCATGGAGCCTGCTTCCCCCTCTGCCTGTGTCTCTGCCCCCCCCGCCCTGTTCCTCTCTCATGAATAAATAAATAAAATTTTTTAAAAAAGTAAGCTTTTCACCCAATCTGGGACTTGAACTCATGACCTGAGATCAAGTCACATGCTCTACTGATTGAGCCAGCCAGGTGCCCTATATGCATTAAAGTGTTGTTACATGTCTGGCACTGAGCTAGGCATTTCACATATACACAAACATACCTATCTTGCAAAGTATGTATTATCTTCAGACTATAAATTAAAAAAAAAAAGGTTGTGAAGTCCCTCAGGTTAAAAAAAAAATTGTTCTTTCTAAAACTACAGTTTCTACATAGTTATTGGTGTTTTTTCTACTGTAGTTTGTCCTTTAATCAGAATATGACCTTACTTGATTTTGGGCAGATAGTTAAGAAACTGGGGTGACGTAACTTCAAGCAGCTTTTTTTTATAAACTGCTCAGTCAGTTTTGCTCCAAAACTAATACAGGAGACATCTCTACAAAGTTGCTGGCCAGCAATACTTGAGCAAGGAGAGTCAAGATAAACTCTCTTGCAGAGAATGGATGCAGTCTTCAGCTCTAGGTATGCTGGATAGCTTCTGTCTTTCCTTCCAGATTAATCTCTCCTCCCTCTATGTCTTTTTCTCTCTCCTGGGAGCTAACCTGCATGAATTTCATCAATGGGCTCCCTGCACTTTGGCTTACACTTAGATTCAGCCAATAGGGAGCTCTGGCAGAGACTGGAGGGAGAGAAAAAAATCACTATATGGATTTCCCGGGTACCATTTTTTGGAGTCCCCAGGGCCTACCTATATTCTTTAATTTTTTAAAAAGATTTTATTTATTCATTATGGACAGAGAGAGGCAGATACATAAGCAGAGGGAGAAGCAGGCTCCATGCATGGAGCTGATGTGGGACTTGATCCAGGGACTTCAGGATCATGCTCTGAGTGGAGGGAGACACTTAACCAATGAGCCACCCAGGCATCCCCTACCTGTATCCTTTGATTAAAAGTCACCTCCTCTCAACACAGCCTCTCCTTCCAGTTCTAAATAACCACTATTTCCCTTTGTTTTTTCAGGCCTAAGGCTCTTACTATCCTCCAGTTACTGACCTATCCTTTGCCTACGCTTTTTAAAATCACCCCTTCATTATTTTGACCATGTTGTCTATTTCCTATTGGGACCCTAATACATGTGATAAAGGTAGGCAATCTTTTGGATTCATAGCATTCCTGTTTTATCCATGTACTTCAAACTTACTCTCATATATGTAACCTTAAATTCTTACGAGTCAACATATCTGAAGGTTAACTGCTGGGTTAAGTAGCAGAAAGTGACTCATACCTGTGTGGTTCCCAAGTGTGGGTTAGAGGCATCAAGGAGACATAAATCTGAGAGACAATAATAGCTCAGGCCCCTGTGACTTAGCTCCCAAAGAACCCAGGATGCTAAACAGCTTTTCAAGCTTTGTGACTGTGGAACCTTCTTGTTTCAGATCCCCAAAGTCTTATATAAGCTGATGGACTCTGCCTACTGGGGCCCTGGTTTCTCCATAACCTCCCAAGATGCCTCTGAAAAATCAGCTTAGAAATCCCTCAGGGTGATGACTTTATCCTCTTGTTGGCACATGCTGGTTTTTCTGAGACAAAGTTTGAACTAATATCCTAATTTAGAAAAAAGAGTATCAACAGTATCCTTAAGTATTTAAGTATCCTGAAATTAAGGGGTCATGTTTATCTCTCTGTTGTCAGTAATAGTAATTTCTTTGAATTCATTTCCTTAGTTTGTTATTCACTACTCTCTGTCAGGATGAGGTATTTCATGAATATAATAAATTTCATACTTTGTAGTAGTTTACTTATTTTGGGCAAATAACCTTTTCCCACAAAGCACTTAATTTAAACCTGTGTATATATACATGTTGCTTTATAACCTCCTATTGGCACATATCCGGGCTTTACAAAAGAATTTGAGAGGATCCCTGGGTGGCGCAGTGGTTTAGCGCCTGCCTTTGGCCCAGGGCGCGATCCTGGAGACCTGGGATCGAATCCCACGTCGGGCTCCCGGTGCATGGAGCCTGCTTCTCCCTCTGCCTGTGTCTCTGCCTCTCTCTCTCTCTGTGACTATCATAAATTAAAAAAAAAAAAAAAAAAGAATTTGAGAGAGGTTAATTGAATTTGTCAAGGTCACACACAAAACTATTAAGTGGCAGAGTCCAAGAACTGTTGCTCACACTGCAACATAATTTTCACTGGACCTGCAAAGATTCTGAGAGTCCAGCTTAGGTCCTTTTGGCTAGAGAAGTCACCATACTTTGTAAATGAACACCTTTCCTGATTAAAATGAAGCCGGGACTTTTAAACCTGTAAATTGTTGTTGCCTGAATAGAGTCACAGGATTAACTTCTCTTCGGAGTCTGTATTTAAACCTAAAGATCAGGGAGACCTGGGCGGCTCAGTGGTTGATTGTCTGCTTTTGACTCAGGTCATGATCCCCCGGGTCCTGGGAGCAGGTCCTGCATTGGGCTCCCTGCAGGGAGCCTGCTTCTCCCTCTGCCTGTGTCTCATGAATAAATAAAATCTTAAATAAATAAACCTAAAGATCATTTACCCCTTTGTTGTGACCACCTCAAGAACTGAAGTATTTGTGAGACTTGTCCCTCAGAAGGCTGAGAAAGGTTGCAGCCCTAACATTTTTCTTTGTCCTGGCTTTCACACCTTGGTTTGAAGAGGATAATGAAGTCAAGTGATTGGAAAGTCGCTCCACAACTTTCTTGCTCTCCTTCATCATCTAGGAAACTAGAAATGGTTTTTAAAGCATCTTGGTAAAAAAAAAAAAAAATAAAATAAAATAAAGCATCTTGGTATAAGTAAGACATCCAAAGAGCGGAAAACTGAGACCTAAACGACCTCTCCCATCTGGGGAAACAAGCTCCAGGCAGAGGGCAGACTGGGGAACAAATCTGGCAGAACAAGGTGTGAGGAAAGTGTAGAGGGCGATTTGAAAAAAATATTGGTAAAATCTTCAAATGAAGATTGTAAGAATACAAAAGATTGCTTAGTAGAAGATCGCAGAGGTAGGACGTCTAAGGTTTGGAGGAATCGACATCTCACAAGGTACCATGCTTTCCTTTAAGAGCATTTCTACATACATTTTAATTACTTGAGCCTCTCAAACCACCCTGTTTTTCAGATGAGGAAACTGAGGCTTAGGGCCAAGTTCTGAGTGGTCAGGATTACAGGTACTAAAGGGCAGAGCTAGAAACAAATCTCGGTTCCTCATCAAATTGTTCTCGGCCGGCCGTTTCCAGGCCGAGGCAGTTCGGTGGCGATCCGGGAAGGGGCCGCCAAGGCTTCCTTCGCTGCAGGGCTCGGGCCGGCCTGCAGGCGGCGCCAGCGGGACGGCGGCCGCGGGTTCCAACTGAGCGGATACTCTCCAGCCCCGCACCGGAGGAAACCCGGAGTTATAAACCCGCAAAAGCCGGCCACTGCCTGCGCGAGGCTTTAAGTGTCCTTAAGCCCGAGGTAGTGGACGAGGCGGCTGGTTGTGCCCCCCCCCCCCCCATTGGTCCTTGGGATAACAGGTTTCTTTGGCTTCGGCCAGCCGCGGCCGGAGGAACGACGGACCGGCCCCACGGCCTGAGCCTCCTGGCGCTGCGCTGGAGCGCAGCCAGACTGAGGGGAGAGGTCGCGCATGCGCGCGAGGAAACACGCGCCGCCCCGCCTCGGGGTCCTGCGAGGGGAACCAAGTGCGCCCTCTGGAGCTGCCCCCGGGAGCCCCTACCTCCGGTGGGGCCGAGTCCTTTGCAGCCCCCCTACCATGCGACCCCCACTCTCCAGATTCTTTAGGACAAGATTTCCTGTTGTGAAACTTAAGTCACTCGCGCTGCAGCTTAATTTTATTTCTCAAAGAATGCCCTCCCCCCACCCCCATGGAACAGGCTACGAAAACGTCCTCGGTGCAGAAACGTGCTCCAGCGCCCTCCCCACCACTTCGGTGGTGCCGTGGGTCTCCGGGGCCCCGGCTCATCTCCACACACCATTTCTTTGTTTGCCTCCTTCAGGAAACCTTTCCTGATGAACCCCGGAAGGACCGCGGCCATCCCCATTCCTTGGGACCGGCCCCCTCCACTCCAGGACACTTAGGCACGGCTCGGGGACACAGCAGTACTGGAGGCCGAGGCTCCTACACAGTAGGAGGAGGCGTGTCTCGGGAGGCCCGAGGGCTCCACACCGCGCGGCCCCGGCCCCGTTCGTCTGTCCGTCCGCCCTGCGGCCCGCCCGCGGCCCAGTCTGTGCAGGGAGCCCAGAGGCGAGTTAAGGCAGCTCGGCTGAGGGAGAGGGGAGTGGGAGGGCGCCAGTTCCCCCCGAAAAGCTGGCTCACTGAAGGGGCGAGCTTCTCACCTCCCACTCCTCTCTGGAGGACAGGGGGAAAGACAGTCAATAAATAAACCCGAGGCGGGCCGGGCCCCCGGGGGCTCGCGGAGTCGGGGAAGGCTGGCGTGTGGGGCACGGAGGGGACACGCTCCTGTCCCTTGTGGGCTCGGGCCTCACGCGCCGGCTCCCCTTAGACGTGAAGACGGCTGCCGCTGGGCACGGCCTGCGGAGAGGGGGACGCGGCCGGGGCAGGCTTCGGGGGCGGCGGGGGCTTCTCCACGTCCACCCTCTTCAGGGCGCGGCCCCGGTGGCCCTCCGGCCGGCCCAGATACAGGAGATGTCTCCCGGGGCCCCCGCAGTACCTGGAGGGCCCCCCCGAGGGGACCCGGGTGAGCAGGGCTGGCGGGGAGCGGTGCGTGGGGAAGGGCATCCTCCGGCTGCTCCCGACCCCCAGGCGGGGCGCCGGGGCGGACAGCGCGGGCCGGGCGGAGGGGGCGGTGCACTGGCCTTCGGGGGGCACGTCCAGCCTCAGCGGCGGCCCGCACTCCCGCGGGAGGAGGCTGGAGCCAGCAAACAGGACCGGGGCGGGGGCGGACGGGAGCGCCCGCGAGGTCAGGGCCGCCATGGCCGGGGGCTCGGCCGCCTTCCTGGGCGGCTGCGGCCCGTGCAGATAGCGCAGCAGTTCCTCCAGCGTGGTGACTTCCACGGCCTGCCCGGGACAGCCGGGCGGCGGCGGCCTCACCAGCACGCGCGGCGCGGGGCCGCCCCCCGCGTTCCCGCCCCGCGCGCGGCCCGGGGCCTCTTTGGCATTGTTCCCGTTCTGGTTCCACTCCCAGGGGCTCCCGGCGTGGCGCAGGCGCTTGACCGGCAGCTCCGGCGTGGACTCGGGCGTGGGCAGGCAGGCCAGCTCCGGCGGGGCCACGCCGTCAGGGGGAGGCAGAAAGGTGGTGTAGAGCTGCGGTGTCTGCGCCCCGTCCCCGTCCTTGGACGGCGGAGGCTCTGCGCCCGCACCGTGCAGCCGGGCCAAGCTGCGAAGGGAGAGGGGGCGCGGGAGCCCCGGAGTCTCCACGTCCTTGCTCCGATGTCTGTGGGCTCGGCGGCAAGCGCAGGAGACCAGGAGGCCAGAGACCGAGGCGCCCAGGGCGAAGGCTGCAGCAGCACAGGCCAGGAGGAGTGGGATGGGGACGGAGAGGGAGGCTGAGGCTGGGGGGAGGTCCCGGCGCACGCCTGCTGACCGAGAGGGAGGAGGGAGGCTCAGCCCAGGTAGGTGGGCCTGGGAGGGCGAGTTGGAGTTTCACCTCGCTCCTGCTGCCGCTCAGCTTCACTCCAACACGGGCTGACTGGCTGACCGTCCTCAGCATGACCTCCCCTGACCCCCTCAGTGCACACAGGCCATCACACTAGACCTCACACAGGCTAGAGCTTGGGCCTGGGGAGTCCTGGTCCCAGCGCTGGCCCCTGTAGCCATGCCAAGAGCGAGTGCCAAACTCTGCCCATGCAGAAGGGGGTAAGTCTGAGATGCCCAGCTCTAGGGAGGGGAGGCTCCAAACGCGCATTAGTGAGCACCAAAGGCTGTCAGTGAGGGGCTTAGAATTCTTCAATCAGCAGCCCCACACATCACTCCTGTCCCTCCCAGCCAGCCCCTTACCCTGAGTGTGAGCTCCAAGAGTGGAAAACTGGGGCCGGGGGTGGGCATCACTTGGGGGGCTGGGGGTCTCAGGGGAAGGGCCAGGACCCAGAAGCACTGGTGACAGAGACCAGGTCAGAGCCATTGAGGCTTCTGTTTTCCACCTCTGACACCTGATCGGTGGGTCCTCCCCATCCCTGTTTTGAAACCGAAAGTTCTGGAACTTCAGCCTCTACTCTCCTCTGGGCATGGGGAAGGCTCACCATGCAGGACATTCTTTCATGTATTTTTTTTTAAAACACTATTTATTAAGCACCCTAGTGTGTGCCCAGCACCAAGCTCTATGCTAGGTATCTGGAGGATGCTAACCCTGTTCTGAGACTCGGTGTGTGGGGTGCTGGTCCGCTGCGCTGGAGCACAGGCTGGGTGAGTGTGGGCTGAGCAAGAGAAGATGATGCGGGGATAGGCAGACTCACCATAAGCAGAATCCCCTGTGCCAGAGTGACTCCCCGTAGCTCCATCTATGAAGAAGGGAGACAGAGGGTGAAGATGGGGGCAGGAGGAGATTCACGGGGAACCGAAGTGGGCGACTATGCCACAAGGTACAGAATCCCATGCCTGGGATGGGAGCTGCCAGCCATCAGAGCCATGTGCAACTGTGGCCACGGCGGCCTCTGCCCTTTCTGTTTACCTTCACAGTCACTGTGTTCCAGGGATTCCTGGGTCCCAGCTGGATCCATATCATTCCTAGGAGGGAAACAGAGGTGGCTTAGTGCAGTTACACATCTTGCCCCCAGCCCCCACCCTGGCCCTCAGCCTCCTCTCCTAATGGTGCGGACAGAACTTTCTCCTCGGCAGATCTGGGGGCCCCTCACTCACCCACCAGGTCCCCTGATATCCACACAGCCTCTGGAGCTATGCCATCCACAGTAGGGGTCCTGAGAAGCCAGACAGCTCCTGGGGAAATGGAGTCACCTGAGGCTCTCCATTCACATCACACCCCTGCCCACTCCCCTCCTCTCCCCCTGGCCTCCATGAGGTCCTGAGCCCATTCCCACCCTACCTAGCCCATTCCGCTTCTAGTCCCCAGGTACTGTCAGCTTGGAGGATGCTCCCTCCCAACTGCCCCGGCATTTCCCAGCCACCCCTACCCCAAGGAACCTCCCCCAAGAGAAGGTCTGCCCTCAAGCCCCCTCACCTCCGACAGGCCCCATGCTGGGCACAGCGACTGAGAGGGAGGTAGATAATGCAGCCAGAAAAAGCCACAAAGAGCCTGTGACCTTCGGTGTCCAGCTCCAACCCTATGACTCGCCGGGCCGTTTGGGCTGCCCGCTTCCCATTGCACCTGGGGTGAGGTCAGAAGGAATCAGAGATGGAGCAGGTAAGGCTATTTTCTCCCTGGTCCAGTTAAAGAACAGAAGGCTGGCAGGCGCACCAGCACAGAACATAACTCCTAGGGCTGCCCCACCACACTATCTAGCTTCTTGTCAAACCACTCTACCCTACGGTTTCTGCCATGCAGAAGCCAATGTTGGGAGTTCCCACCCCATCCCCACATCCCCCTGCCTCCTCACTCCCCCTTCCTGCTCTGCCAGACCAAGGCCTCACCTGGATGGGCTGTACGCATTGATCTCTTCCAACAGGACTGGCTCGCGTCCCCCAGCGGGCCCCCCTGGGGGCAGCACCTTCAGCACTGTCCCATCATTGGAGCCCAGGAACAGGACAGTGGTGTTACTGTAGGGGCCGGCCCTACCATCCACGGCTAGCTGAGTCAGTAGGGCCCTGGAGGGATAGGCCTCTGTCAGGGTGACCTGACTGGGGGAGCTGGAGTGTTTCAAGGACAGCCCCATGGATGGAGGCCGCTCCTGGGCCCTTCCGCCTTCTTTCCCTCCACTTTCCTGGCTTCTTCCTCCCACCAATACAATTTCTCTTGTGAGGTCAAAGAAGGAGAGTGGCTGGGGCATCGGGGTTGGGCAGTAGTTGTTTTTTTTAGCAGCATACCTGCTGGTGAGGGTGAGCAGAGGCTGATGGGTAGCAGGTGGCACAGCGGGGTCCAGCAGTGGGTGAGCCTTGATGAAGGTTAGAACGTCATCAGGGAGGTCTCGAGAAGAGGGGAACAAGGCAGCCACACCTACTCCTGCACAGGATCCTGGCCTGGTAGGTGGTGAGAAGGGGCAGCATTAGGACAGAGAGCCAGGGCCTCCGTTAGGCTCTGTGCGCCCGCTGACTGCTCTCAAACATGATTGGTAACCTCTGCTCTCCCCTTCACACAGACACTCATACAGCTACTTCCCCTTTCTTTGCAGGTCTCCAGTCCCACACCAACCCACTGAGCCCCCTCCCCATAATCCCATAGACCCTCTCTTTATAGTCTTGTATGGGAACACTGCTTGCTGCTGCCCCTCCCCAAACCGCCCCATCCTAGGTACCTGGGGGAGGGAACCCTGTCCTCAGACACAGGTGTCCAGGCCCCATCCAGACTCCTTTGCTCCTTGAACTTGCCCTCAAATCCACGCTCAATATCATCCAGGTAGAAGGCACAGACCGCAGAGCCAGGGATGCTGAAGGAGCCAGAAAAAGATGCAGGCTAGGTGTTGGAAGGAATAGCACAGCTCCTCCCAGGTGAGACGCAGCAGCTACCCTTCTGCACCACATTAGGGGGTGGGGCCTGAGAGGGTGAGGCAGCCCCTGGGGGCCAGGCTGGGAGGAAAGAGAGCAGAACAGCAAACCGGCTTTGATGGCTTTGATCAGAGTCTCCCCTCACTGTAGGGGCATCGGTAGGCTTTGAGAGGGAAGCTGGGAAGCTGGTGGCACAAGGGACAGAGTGGCCCACATCCATTAGTCTGGTACTAACCTATTGGTCTGGGTAGTGAAGACCCCAAAGAGAGCAGGGTGGCCATAAAAGTCCACAGGCCCAGTTAAGGCCTGTAAGACATCAAAATAGAAGGTAGAGTCCCCAGGGACAGAGCAGTTGAGCCTCAGCTTCAGGAAGGATGTCCAGTGGCGGTCCAAGGCCCGAGGCGAGCCACCCATGTCCCGCTTACACACACGGGCCACTCGGGAGAACTGCACCTGGGGGAGGAGAGGAGAGACTGAGAACAGTGAGGGCCCAGGCTGGGGTGGGGCTGGGGGTGGGAATCTGGAGTGCTGGAGCCCCAAGAGACAAATGTTAGGGGTACTGCAAAAGAAGGGCATGGTGTGTGGTAGAGGAGACTGGGTCAGGGACAAGGGACACAGCAGGATGTGGGGGGAAAGAGTTGGAGGCTCCTCAAGTTGGGCTCAGAGTCCAGGGGATTGCTTGGTGATTAGGGCCAGGTGCTCTCCTCTGACTCTGTCTGCTCAGGATCCAGCAGAACCCTCTAGCTACCCACCTGTGGTGCCCACCTCCTTACCCTTCCCAGCCGAGCATCTTCGACAGAGACCTCTCGGAAGAAAAAGTAGACATGGTCTCCGTGCTCCAAGGCATGGACAAAGTATGGCTCTAAGAGGGGAGAGACTGGGAATGGTATGCTCAGAAACTCCTGGCCCCATACAGCCTCTTGACTGCTTACACACACACACACACACACACACACACACACACACACACACACACACATACACACACGGTACCACCCCCCTGCCTGCTGGCTTCCTGCTACAGGCCTCCCCCTGCACCTCCTCCCCAAGAGCATCCTCCCTCCCCCAGGCCCGCCCTGACCTCTGAGCCACTTGGAGTCGTACTTGGCAGAACGGAGTGCGGGCTGAGGCCCAAGGCTTCTGTAAACCACAGCATCACTGGCCTGGAAATCCGAGGCTGTGGCCGAGTAAAGGCTGCCCTCTGGAGGGGTGGGTAGGGTGGGATCAGGGGAGGGCCCAAGGGTCTGGCTCTTCTTGGGCCTCCTTTACCCCTACCTCACTCAGCCTGGTCCTGCCCCCTACCTCTACCTCAGCCCTCAATGGGCAAAGACCAGATGGGGAGAAAGGCTAGGGCGGGAGCCCCCTCCAGATGTGGGCCCACTTCTCACATGCTTAGCCTGGGTGCACACCTGCAAAGATGGCCACATTGGACTGGGTGGCATCAAAGGGGCATCGAGCCTGTCCACTCAGCTCTTCACCCTCCTGCTGCAGGGACGTTATCTGGAGGCAGAGGGAGCAGGTCCTTGGAACCCCTGGGGTCTTGGAATCTGGCCCCGCAACCTACTCCTTCATATCCCCTTGCCTCTTCCCCTCACCCCCTCCAGATCCCTGCCCTCAGCACTCTGGGTCATGCCCCCCATGCGGGCTTCTCTTCCCACCGCCACCCCAACCCGCCACTGCCCGCCCCTGCCTACCCCATAGCTGCGGCACACAGGGCTGAACGAGTTGGTGCCACAGGCAAGAAGCGTCCGTGAGTCCCAAGGAACCAGAACACGGATGTAGTTGTAGCACTCGTCCTGGACGATGCAGAACCCTAGGTCAGCGCCCTGAGTCCCTGGAAACGAGGCTACCTCCCTCGAGCCAGTCAGAGCAATGTGGGGTCAAGTCCCAATTGCACTAGTCACTGCCCTGCCGCTTTGGGCAGGCCCAGGGGCCTGGCAGAGCCTAACTCTTATGTGACGATTGCCCTCTCCCTCTCATGCACATTGCCCCAGTGGCCTGAGATTGGAGCGGGTGGGAGTGGGCACGGTGAGGACCCCACAGCCAGAGCCTGGGCTGGGGAGCTCTCCTCCTGCTGCTTACCGTCAGCTTCCCCCGCACGGCGCAATTCTCCATGTCCTGACTCCGCCATGTCAGGTACTGAAAGGAGAAGCAGAAGAGGAACGTCGTGAGGTAACCAGAACGCCCCCTCACGTTGTGGCCCCTTTGGGATTCTTCCTCCCACCCATCTGACCCCCACCAGACCCTTCCCAGCCTTATCTCCAAGCCTGCACCTCCCCCCTACACGCCCCTCACCTTGTTGGGCACCAGCCCCTCCCCTTCTTCCTGGGCTTGAAGATCGAAGGAGAAAACATGATCCCTGAAGGGACAGGTGAGGAAGGATCAGGGCCAGGCCCAGGCACTGCACCTGAACTCCTCGGTGCCCATCCCACTCAGGTTCAACAGCTCAGAGATGAACCCTGCAGGCCTCCTGCCTTCTCTCCTCCCCCTCACTCCATGCCTGGACTTTTGTGCTCAGGTCCAAGCTGAGGTCCAACTGTACTATGGCTTGTACACTTGCATGTGTCCCCTGCAGGATGCCGCAGTGGCCATGCAGGTCCCATGTCTGCCCAGGAACATGCATGTTGGCCCCACAGCTGTGCTATGATCAATTTACCGGGCGGCCACTAGCAGGGTCCGGTTCAAGGTCAGGAATCTCTGAAAGTCCAGCCCGAGTTCTGCAACCACGGCATCATCCTCCAGGCCCCGGAACCAGGATGATGGGGAAGTGCCTGGAACACAAAAAGCTGGGTGCTGAGGGCCAGCCACACACCACACACTCCCTCAATATCCTTTCCGACCAGATGAAACCCAGCCATGGTCATCGTGAAGGAGCGAGAGGGGGCATGAAGTATCAGTAAGCTGATGATACAACTATTTATAAAATAACGCTTGCTGACTCAGAGGACTTCACTGCCACCAACCACTATGTGAGCACTTTAGAGACACTGCCTCATTGAATACAACTGGAGGAGGGAAGTACTAATATTGGCCCCATTTTACAGATGAGGAGCCAGTGGCTTCAAGCCACTAAGGAATCTGCATGGTTCCTTTAGCTTGGGAGTGGCAGGCACCAGGATTCAGACCCAGACTGTCTGACTCCAGAGCTGAACATGGTCCCTTCCTGGAAGGGCTGCAGGGCAAGGGCTCCCCTTCAGTTCCCACAGCGAACGCTGTCCTGTCTGGAGCACTGACTGCGGTTCTCCCAGCCCTCTCTTTATGCCCTCCTCTGACCAGCTCCAGCATCTGCCCCCCTGACTATGGAAACCATAATCGTCGGCACTCACAGGGAGCTCAGAGTTCAGGGGTAGATGCTATTTGTATGGTGCTCACAAGGCATCTGGCGCACGTTAGAATGACTCTAAATCCTACATAAATAACAGGAATCTGCAAGTAGATAAAGTTTTCTTCTCGGAAAAAAGTGGGTTTACAGTTTCCCTCACAGTGGGATCTGGGCTTAGCTGTGGTGCAAATGGCGGGGAGGGAGGGAGGGAGTGTTGGGAGCCACCAAAGCAGCCCCAAGCCTTCACTGTGTAACCAATAATAATAGCAAACACACAGCAAACACATACTGTGTGCCAGACAGTGTTCTCGGCACTTTTGTGTGTGACCTCACTCGGTCCCCTAAATAACTCTACTGAGGCAGAGTACTATTTGTTGTCTCCATTTTGCAGATGAGGAAACTGAGGCAAAGAAAGGTAAAAGGACTCAGCGGAGGTTATGCAGCCACCGAGCAGCTTGGCAGCACTCAAACCAGCATATATGTGGTCTGGCTGGGCCTGTGTTCTTAACCACCGGGTGACTGCACTGAGGTGCTGCCTCAGAGTGGAGGCCCAGTGATGAAGAGGCTCTACCTGTCAGCAAAGGCTCCCCTCTGCCAGGTGCCCCCCCTCCCAGCATCTCACCTCCTCCCCCGCAGGAGCCTGGAGTCTGAGCTCACACAATGGGCAGCCAGGCACTCACCTTGCAGGTCAGAGGTCAGCAGAGGGAGGGGGTCCTGGGGAAAGGCAGTCTGGGTGTGAGGAAGTGAGAGCACCAGCAGCAGGAGCAACCAGGGCATGAAGCGGGGGGCCCAGGGCATCCTGTGCGGGGCAGCTCAGGCCCCAGGGGGTGCCCCTTCACCCATATGCCAGCCCTGAAAGGAGACAGAGGAAAGTGTAGAAGGGGCCCAATCCCTTCACCCTTGGCAGTGGAAGGCTGCTCCCCTGACCTAGCTCTAGAGGACCCTATGGGCTGGGGGAGACAATCCTTTCTCCGGCACCGCCTGGTCCCAGCCAGCTGTCACTGTCACTCAGGGCCTTTCTCCAACTGGCCCAAACTGGCTGGTGTGGGGCTTGCAGGCATGACCCCAGGTAAGGACAGGACACACCCGCTCCCCTTCCAGCCTTCTCACTCAGCCTCTCCTGACTGGGCCTGGGACATTCAGTAGGTGACACCTCCTGGCCCCCCTCTTGCTAACCCCTTCTCAGTTATAATTAGACACTAAAGCCTTAAAATTATAAATAGTGACTCCTTGGCACTGGGAGGAGGAAGAGGGCACCACGTCTGCCTTCCCCTCCCTCACAGACCCCTGCGGCACCCTGGGAGCCATGCAGGCGCAATGCCCAGGCAAAGGCGGCTGCGAGGAAGCCATCACCCCCTCTAGGGTCGGGGAAGAACAGAGTATGTGGAGGGCAGCCTAGGAGTCGTAGTCTTAGTCTAAGTTCTTGCTTCAAGGGACCTTCCCATCGCTAGGGAGAAGTTGGGTCCTGAGGGGAGTGTGTGTGGGGGGTGCCTTAGCCAAAAATGAATCTGCATCAAAGCCAGATCAGAGGCTAAATTTAGCTCTGGCTGCAGCTGTCTGCCCGACCACTGTGCCCCCTCCCAGCCTCTCTAGCCCCCTGTGCCCTCCCTGGCTCCTAAGAAGCCCATGCATGTACTGGACAAGGAAGAGCAGAACTGCCCTCTGTGAGGAGCTGGGGCTGGGCTTGGCTCTACTGGTGAGGAGAGATGGCTGAACACGTATGTCCCTCTTTCCCTTTCTTCCCTCTTCGGGCTGCCTCAGAATGGAAATATAAATAATTCAATGACAGGCAGGCAACGGTAGCCCAAAGTCCAGGAAAAGATGGATATGGTAGAAGGGACTTGAGCCAGCCTGCCTTCCCACCAATCAGCACTGAACTTCATGCTGACCCTGGGTGGCACCCTGGTGGGGAGTGTACTCCAGCCTCCTGCCCTCCCTCCCCTCAGACTGAAGTGAGGGGCTGAGGACCTCCTGAGATTGGGCCAGAAGGGGGAGAATCCCTTCTTCCTGTGAACAGACAGCTCTCCTTCACCAGTCCTTAGTTGCTCATGCTGCCATGTCCCCTAAAGAGGTGACCCTGGGCTTCCAGACCCAGCCCATTCCATCTCCCCAACTCCACTCTTATGGCCAGGAGCCAAGTGTACCCCACCCCCAATCCAGCGTCACTGGTGGGGAAGCTGACGTCAGATGGGGTCCCCAGAGAGCTGGAGGAGGGGAAGGGGTAGGAACACCTAATGATGACCCCCCTCCCCAGGGGCCGAGCAGTCAGCTAACTAACGACCCCCTGGTGCTGAAAGGCCAGGCCTCCCTAACCGCCCCCCCACCATTTTTCCAGATGCTGTTGCTCCCAGGGGAAGAGAAAGGGACACAGCTTGTCTCCTATCCTCCCCCTCCAAGTTGCCCTGGGCAACTGGTTATCTTCACCCAGGAAACAACTTTGGTCTCTGGCAAGTGGGGAGAACAGCCAGACCCTCTTCCTGTTTCCAGGCCATGCCAGCTCCCATCTCCTGCCCTCAGGAGCTGCTGCCCTTTCCTTACCTGGGGTGGTGACTCCTGGGGGAGGGGTTGAGGGAACTAGGAGACCTCTGACCTGATGGAAGAAGGGACAGGAGGGAAGAGGCTTAGTTACACCTCTTTACCACATCCCTTAAAAGTAACTGTGAAAATTCAGGAGAAGGTAGGGGACATGCTACCCTGGAAGAGGGAGTGTATGTGTGGTGGTGGTGGGGGGGTTGACATCGAGGTTGATTACAAATGTGCTGGCCGCTTCATGCCTGAAGATGTGAGGGCAGGGGTTGGGGCTGGCCCCTAGCCAGAAACTCCTGGAATGGCAGGACCATTCTTGGGGGAAAGATTGACCCTGAGAGTCCATGGGGCATGATGACCACTCCCACATTAAAACCCTCAGAATCCAGCAGTCTTCTTAGCAAAAGCGCCCTAGCTAGGGACAATAGAGGCTAATTTGCATCTCATTTACATGCTCTTCATTTCTAGGCAAAATGCTCTGATAGCCAGCACCCCCAGCCCCTTCCTCCTTCCCAGAGAGCAGGTCCTGCCTCCTTCCCACCCAATGTCACTGCACCCCACCCCCAATTTACACTGGATTAGTCCAGCCTCTGAAAACACTTGGTTGGCCTTTGCATTGGTCCCCTAGACTTAAGTATGATAGATCTTTAGGAGGGCTTCCCATATCTGTTTTTAGAGGAACAGCATCTACGCAATCCCCATCCCACCCAGGACCTGGGGAAAGGCTCCCTCTCCTGGGACCAATCCCAGCTGCAGAATACCCCCTATCTGAAGCAAATGGGGGAGGCCTGGCCGGCTTTCTCCCCCTCCCAGGTCCTCCCTTTGCTGGGAGAGGAAACAGCCCTTCTCACTCCTCCTAGCCCTTGCAGCCACCTCTGGGGAGTGGCCAGGGTCATAACCAGAGTCTAGGGGGTGCTGGGGAAGGGATGGAGAAGGGGAGCCTGGGCTAGGGACAATAGCAGGAAGCTCTCAGGCTGGTTGCCCGCCCCAGTCCACCTTCCTCTGGGGGAGCAGAGGAGAGGTGAGGGGGTAGGCAGCACACGGAGAATCCTCGAGGAACAGGCTTAAGGCACATTCCCTCTCCAAGACATTTCTCCCACCCTCTCAGCGCCTGGCTCCTAACCTGCCCTCCCTCCCACCCAACCCCCAACGAAGATAATCCAGGTGTCTAGACCCTGGCATAAGGTGGGCCCAGGGCCAGAGCTCGACGTGTCTCCCCTTCACTGGATCTGGGGCTCCGAGAGGGGCGGGTAGCAGAGTCTGGGCCGGGACCGGGTCCCAGAGCCACGTTAGCGGGAGGAGGGGCTGGAGGGGCCTGCAGGCGCAGACAGAGTGGGGGTGGGAACGGGGGCTGGGGAGCGGAGGCGGGTCTCCGAGGCCAGTGAAACAGGGCCAGAGGCTGGGAACCGACGACGGCAGGCCTGGGGCCAGTGCTGAGCGGGGTCCGTGGGCTCAAGGTGCAGTCGCCTGCTAGGCTCTCCTCCTTCCGAGACCTCGGTTTAACAAAGCCTCGGGGCGAGTAGGGTGAAGGAAGGAGAAGGTTATGGGGACTGTTGCTTCGGGGAGGTGAGGGGCGCTTTCCCCTACTCTCTGCCAGAGCCAACCCCCTGAGATGTGCTCAGACTCCCCTGTTTGCACAAGGACAGAGGTGCAGCCGTCACACCAAAGTCCGGAACGACGCGTTCCCCTTCCCGACCCTGCAGGGACATCGAGAAGGTCCAGTTCTCCGCAGGTCTCAGAACCTTAGTTTCCCTCTGGGGAGTCAAGGGATCAGGTTTTCCACCCTCTGTACAATGCGCGCCTCAAATAATCGCCTTTCGCGCTCCCCAATCCAGAGGACACGACTCGGAGAAACCCGCTGGGAAGAGGCGCCCGGACCGTGCGCCCAAGAGTGCACTGACGGGGCTCGGCTACGGTCCCCTCCTCCCTCCGTGCACCCCAACTCCGCTGACCCTCTCCGCCAGGCAGGCACAGAGCGGCTGGCACCCTCCCGGGTCCCTCTCGCACTTCGGAAGGTTGTCCCCGTCTGCGGCACCCCGGGTCCTCCTCGCCTCCCTGCAACCCCATCCCTGCTCCGGGGTACTTGCTCCGAGATCCGGGTCAGCGAGACCAAGAACGCAGCGGGCGGGCAACGGCCCCGCACCGCGCCGAGTTCGCAATCCGTGATTGGGGCTCTGGCGGGATGTGACGAGCGTCCGATTGGGATGGAGCTTGGATCCGACCTCCCGGGCGCAGTCGGGTCGCGCGAGCCCAGGGTCCAAGTCGCAGCCCCCACTCCCGCCGCGGCTCCGCGCAGGAAAACAATGCGACCGCCCGGGGCTCTGGGCCCGGCCCCAGCCGCCCCGCCCGCCTCCCGGCCGGCCCCGCCTCTGACCCGCCTCCGGGTCGCCGCAGCCAATCCGGCTCTCGGATGCCGGCTGGACGCTGCCCTCCCAACACCTCTCCAGCAATAGTCCTTCCCGGGGGCGGAGCGTCGGGAGCACCGCCCACCGAGAGGGCCAAGCCGGGAGGCTGAGCCTGAGACCCAAGCCAGGCGCGAGATGGAGAGACCCGCGGACCGTCGCCGAGACTCGGGCAGAGCGGATCACATGCTTTGCAATGGAGAGGCCCTGGGGAGAACTCTCACAAGAGAGGGAGGAAGAGAAGCTGGAAGGAGAAACAGACGGGAAACCCGGGGACCTCGGCCGGGCTGGGCTGTCAGAGCCTCGCGACTCTCCCTTTCTCCCCAGTGGCTTTGGCTATCCTGCTTCCGCTTTGGGAGTCTTACCCCTTCCACCTCTATTCTCCCCCCACCCCCTGGCCCTTCTCTCTACTGTTTTCACCGCAACCTTCTTATTTCTCCCCTCGCGCCTCCTCCTCATGTTCATCACGACGCCAGTAATGGGAGGCCTAGCACGCACTTGAGGGCTTGCGGCCTGGGAAAGGAAAGGAAGACGTCACCAGGAGGTTTCCCTTGTCCCCATCATCTCCTCCCGTCCCACCCCTACTGTCAGAGCAGGATGGGTTTGGGCCACTAGGCCAGGAGCTAGGGAGCCAGGAAGCCAGGGTGGCTGGCAGTCAGGCTGTTGGTTGATGGAAGAGGACAGGTGAGTGGGGCTCAAGCCAAAAGAGAGATGTGGATATTGGGGCAAACGGACTCAGAGAATCACACTGAAAGAGGAGCAATATGGAGCCTCCAAAGAGGGAAAGTGACCAGTTGTCCCAACCCCACATAGCCTTACTGGACCCCAGATACAGGATTAGCATTGTTCCATCCTTCTTCAGAGGGCTTGGACATTTCTTCTCACAGCAAAACTGCTCCTCTTCATCCCCACTCTCCATAAAGACCCTTTGATTCTGGGAAGGTCAGCAGGGAGGGAGAATGAGATTACTTCAGACAGCTCTACTTGGCTCCCACCTTGGTATTGCCTGCTGAGATTCTTTCCTGCGTGGGGGCTGGGACAAAAGACTTTCTCAAAATTCCCAGGACAGTGGGTGGCCTGGGAGACACTGGCATTCTTGGATAGTTTTATCTCAGTGGGCACTTCCTTTCCCCTACTCCCACATACTAGTCCCTGGACTGGAGGGAAGGAGGGGCTGGGGTTTGCTACTTACGGCCAGTCTTTACTGAACTGAGATCAGGATGGGTAGCATCACTGACTGGGCTAAGCCTTTCACTGAGTAAGCAAGAAATATAAACACACAAACTCAGAGAGACACGGAGATGGAAGGCCAGGTGAACCAGTGAGACTAATCAGAAACAATAGGACAATACTTACAAAAGGCTAATTACAGAGGGTCTTGGGTCCAAGGCAATTCGGTATTTTTAAGGCTGTAAAGAGGTTTTGGGAGAAAGACACCTCAAAATATAGAGGCACTCAGAGTTTGAAAGAAATCTCCCCAGCTCTTAGCAAAGGACTTAAGTACTCACATATGTGCTCATTAAATAGATTAGTAAATGGATATTGAGGTGTTAATTCATTTAAAATTTTAGGGCCCAACTAAAATCCCAGTTCCATCTAATAAGTATTAAGCACTTAATTTCAAGCACAATCGGGATCCCTGGGTGGCGCAGCGGTTTAGCGCCTGCCTTTGGCCCAGGGCGCGATCCTGGAGACCCGGGATCGAATACCACGTCGGGCTCCCGGTGCATGGAGCCTGCTTCTCCCTCTGCCTGTGTCTCTGCCTCTCTCTCTCTCTGTGACTATCATAAATAAATAAAAATTAAAAAAAATTTTCAAGCACAATCCCCTGTGGGATGTGGTCCTAATCTTTAAAAAAATGACCACCTACCATCCCACCAGAGCAGCCCCAGCAAGGAGGGCCCCAAGACCACCAGCCCATGACAGCCACAACTCCAGCCAGCCAGCAGAAGTCACCAGGCACACACAATCTACACAAGTGATCACCATACGTAAGACCATCCCTTTAAGAGAAGTAGCTGTTTCATTAATTCATAGAAACAAACACAGAGGGACGCCTGGGTGGCTCAGTGGTTGAGCATCTGTCTTTGGCTCAGGTCGTGATTCCCGGGTCTTGGGATCGAGTCCCACATCGGGCTCCCTGAGGGGAGCCTGCCTCTCCCTCTGCCTATGTCTCTGCCTCTCTGTGTCTCTCATGAATAAATAAAATCTTTAAAAATAATAATAAAAAAAAAGAAAAGAAACAAACACAGAAAGGGGTGCCTGGGTGGCTCAGTAGGTTAAGTGTCTGACTTCCACTCAGGTCGTGATCTTGGGGTCCTAGGACTGAGCCCCATGTCAGGCTCTGCAGTCAGCAATTTTTAAAATTCTAATTCCAGTAAATTAACATGAAGTATAATATTATTTTCAGGTTTAGAATATAGTGATTCAACACTTCCATGCGTGGAAGTGTACTCCTTAATCCTCATCCATCCCCCCACCTACCATCAGTGTATTCTCCATAGTTAAGAGTCCATTTCTTGGTTTCTCCCTCTCTCTCTTATTTTTTCCCTTTGCTTATTTGTTTCTTAAATTCCACCTATGAATGAAATCATATTATATTTGTCTTTGACTGACTTATTTTGCTTAGCATTATATTCTCTAGCTCCATCCATGTTGTTGCAAATGGCAAGAATTCATTTTTCATGGTTGAATAATATTCCTCCATATCTATCTATCTATCTATCTATCTATCTATCTATCTATCTATCATTTTTATACATTCATCAATAGTGGACACTTGGGCTGCTTCCATATCTTGTTTATTATAAATAATGCTGCTATAAACATGGGGGTGCATTATCCCTTTGACTCAAGTGTTCTATTTATTTATTTATTTATTTATTTATTTATTCATTTATTTATGATAGTCACAGAGAGAGAGGCAGAGACACAGGCAGAGGGAGAAGCAGGCTCCATGCACCGGGAGCCCGACGTGGGATTCGATCCCGGGTCTCCAGAATCGCGCCCTGGGCCAAAGGCAGGCGCCAAACCGCTGCGCCACCCAGGGATCCCGACTCAAGTGTTCTTGTTGATCATTAAACTCTAACACCATTTCATTTAGTGCTTTTTCTGAGGTTTTATCTTATTTTTTCATTTGGAGCATATGCCTCTATGTCCCCATTTTGCTTGATTTTCTTTTTTTTTACAATATTTTATTTATTTATTCATGAGAGACACAGTGAAAGAGAGGCAGAGACACAGGCAGAGAGAGAAGCAGGCCCCATGCAGGGAGCTCAACATGGGACTTGATCCTGGATCTCCAGGATCAGACCCTGGGCCAAAGGCGGTGCCAAATCGCTAAGCCACCTGGGCTGCCCCGTGATTTTGTTTTCTTCTACTTTTCTTCTTCTTCTTCTTTTTTTTTTTTTTTTGATTTTATTTACTTATTTAAGAGAAATAGAGAGAGAGAGCATGAGTGGGGTGAGGTGCAGAGGGAGAGGGAAAAGCAGGCTTGGCAGGGAGCCTGATGAAGGGCTAGATCCCAGGACCCTGGGATCATGACCTGAGCAGATGCCTAACTGACTGAGCCATCCAGGTGCCCTTAAAATATTTTTTTTTAATTAAGTAATGATCATATAGATGCTCACTGGACTGGAGAGAAGAATGGAGGAACTCAAAGAGAACTTCAACAAAGAGAAAATATTAAAAAGAAATCAGAATTGAAGAATACAATAGCTGAAATAAAAAATACAATAACAGGAATCAGCAATAGATTAATGGTGCAGAAGATCAGTGATCTAGAAGATAGGAAAAGGGGAAGCACCCAAACTTCAAACAGCAAAAAGAAAATTTTTAAAAATGAGGATAAGAGATCTTTTGGAAAACATCAAGAGATAGGGGTCCCATAAGGAGAAGAGAGAAAGGGGCAGAAAATATAATTGAAGAAATAATAGGTGAAAATTTGCCTAATATAGGAAAGGAAATAGACATTCATGTTCAGGAAGCAAAGAGAGTCCAAAACAAGATGAAAGCCATGAGGCTAATGTTGGGTGTAGAGATTCCTTAAAAATAAAATCTTTAAGGGTACCTATATGGCTCAGTCAGTTAAGCATTTGCCTTCAGCTCACTTCATGATTCTAGGATCAAGCCCAGCATTGGTCTTCCTGCTCAGTGGGGAGCCTGCTTCTCCCTCTCCTCCATGCTCATGTTCTCTCTCACTATCTCTCTCTTTCTCTTCCAAATAAATAAATAAAATTACTTTTAAATTAAAAAAATTTTTTTAAGATTTTGTTTATTTATTCATGAAAGACACACACACACACACACACACACACACACACACACAAACAGACAGGCACAGGCAGAGGGAGAAGCAGGCTCCATGCAGGAAGCTTGATGTGGGACTCGATTCCAGGACTCCAGGATCACGTCCTGGGCGGAAGGCTGGCGCCAAACCGCTGAGCCACCCAGGGATTCCCTAAATTTTTAAAATTTCTTAAGTAGGCTCCACACCTAACTTGGGTCTTGAACTTATGACCCTGAGATCAAGAGTTACATGTTCTATTGGCTGAGCCAGCCAGGCACCCCCGCAAAATAAAATCTTTGGAAAAAAAGAAAAAAGAAAATGGCCACCTATTTTAGTTAAAATAAAACTCACATGCAATAAATGATTAAAATGAAATACCAAGTCTCAAAAAAAGCTACATTGAGTATAATTCCCAAGTGAAAAAAGACAATAAATGTTCTTGATGATGACTGCAGGGAAAGATGTTAGATACATTTTATCATGGTGGATGGGAGAATTTTGGTGCGAGT